GGAATCAATTTAGTGGCAATGGGTCTGGGTTTGGGGAATTTCCCTGGCTCCCAATGAGTTTGCCTTTCTGAAGTTTCCTCTCGGAAGCACACTGGGCCCACCTCCTCTGGAAACAATAGCTCGAGCCAGGTTTTGGATTGCCAATCTCAGCGAAGATCCTGGTTCTACTCATGAGACCCTGGATGAGTCCTTTCCCTCTGAGTCGTTTCTTCATTAGTAAACCCTGGGAAGATCATCCTTCTCCACAGAACTTGGGGAGGACATTAAAACATGACAGCAAAGTGGGCACTTCATGGCCATTCAGGTTTGGAGAACTGCCACAAGCACAAGACTAACTATGCACAGCATTCTGCCACCTGCCACCCACCCAAAGATCTGCAGAAAAAAAACTCCCAGGCTGTGATGATCAAGAGAATCTCAGAAAGTGCAAATGCAGAAATCGACAAGCATGAGTCAAAAATTATCTGCACTCTGGCTGTAGAATTTATCTTAATTAACTTTTAGAAAAAACAAATACATCATTTTTCAATGTAATCTTTTTGTTGTTGTTTTTAAATACACTTTGTCCATCTGTCAACAAGCTTTCACATTCCCTTATTTAAAATGTTTAAGGCTGAGCTGTGAGCTACAAATGGACTGCTATCTTCACTTCATCATCAAAGGTGAATCTTCATCCTCCAAGGGCTGCCTTCAGGGGGCCAAACAGGTGAAAGTCTGATGGGACAAGATCAGAACAATAGGGAAGATGCTTTAACAGAGTGTCAACTGTGTGGGCAGAGGTGTGTAAACGTGCATTGGTCATGCAAGATCACACAGTCCTTGGATAGCAGTCCTCTGCGTTTAATCTGAAGTCTAAGTTTCAGCTCTTTAGTAAACATCTCACTGTAACGAGCACTGTTGAACCTTTTTACTGATAGTGTTCCAATCCTGGCCCTTGGGAATCCCAGAAAACTGTAAGCATCAATTTTCCAGCTGATGGTTAACTTTTGAACTTTTTCATGGCCAGCAATTAAGGATGCTTCCATTCCATACTTTGCTATTGACTCTCATGCTTGTAGTAATGAATCCATGTCTTGTCAACAGTAATGATTTTTTTTTTTTAAAGAAACTTTTACCTTTGAGCATCGGTCCAAATTTTGCTTGCACATGGCCAAACGCGTCTGGCTTCTGTGAGTTGTTTTGGTACGCATCTCACACAAACTTTTCGAAACCAAAGTTTGTTGTGGATTATTTCATAGGCAGAGCCATGGCTGATTTGCAAATGATTTGCCACATAACCCACTGACACTCATCTATTCGACAGAATCATTTCGTGTGCACGTTCAATGTGGCCATCAGCCATAGATGGGCATTTTAATATAATCAGAGTGCAGACATTTTTCATTCACTCTTATACATTCAAACTTGTCTACCTTCTTAGGAGTAGTCCTGGTATAGTGCTGCAGGATAAACAATGGACTGCGAACTGCAAGGTTGGTGGTTCAAACCCACTAGCCACTTCTTGGAAAACCTATACAGCAGTGGCAGGGAATGTCTGGTCCTGCCTCGACAACTGTAGTTGCAGCCATCACATTGTTGCTGTTGTTAATTGTCATAGAGTCAGTTCCAACCCATAGCTACACTGTATAGGGTTTCCATGGAGCGGATGGTGAGTTTGAACCACCAGCCATTTGGTTCAAACTGACATTGCAGCCCAGTGCATTAACCCACAGCACCACACCAGGACTCCTTAGCCATCACATTTTGTTGCTGTTGTTAAGTGTCATCGAGTCGGTTCCAACCCATAGCAACCCTGTAAAGGGTTTCCAAGGAGCGACTGGTAAGCTTGAACCACCAACCTTGCAGTTCAAATGGACTTTGCAGTCTAGTGCATTAACCCACAGTGCCACACCAGGACTCCAGCCATCACATTGTTGTTGTTAAGTGCTGTCGAGTCGGTTCCGATTAGAGGTGAGTTAATTACATGTTTGACCAAAAACAGCAGGCTAATTTTTAAATTGATAATTTTGTATGGCCTACAAATGATGTTATAAATTTTGGCAGAAAAAAGATTCTCCAACTTCAGCACTGGACTGTAAACCATAAGGTCTGCAGTTCAAACCCACCATGTACTCCTTGGGAAACCCTATACAGGGTCATTATAAGTCAGAACCAACTCCATGGCACTTAACAACATCTCCTTAGGTGACTATCTAGATAAATCCAGCAAAGGTTTGTTTGTGCTGGGTTTTTTTGTTGTTGTTGTTGTTTACTTGCTTTTGCCTATGCTGCTCGGAAGCTCAACAGACTCAATGACTTTAAATTTACTAAAGAGTCCCAATACAAAGATCTCTTGTTTCCCTTTCTGTAAGTAGATCCTCTGGAGTCCTGATGTAGCACTGCTGGATAAGCACTGGACTGTGAATCACCAAGTCAGTGGTTCAAACCTTATCAGTGCTCCTTAGAAACCCTATCCAGGGTCACTGTGAGTCAGAACCAACTCAAAGGCACTTAACAAGTAGATCCCGTAATTCCATCGTCAACTTTAAAAAGTATATTACTGTATCTCCTCTGTCATACTCCATCTAGTATTCTCTCTGAACTAGGTGGAGTGGTAAATCAGTGAACACTGGCCAACACCTGTGAAGAATTCTGAATTTTCTTCAGGACACAATCTTTGCTGGACAAAAACATGCCTCCTTCTCAAGGATCCGGAACCTTCCAACTCAAATCCCTTCCTCCCACCCTACTTTGAACACGTCATCAAATCCTGGAGAAACATAGGGATGGGGAATTCATTACCCTCTTCCATTTACTGCCTCCTCCATGTAGCCATTCCTGACCCCTCCAGAAGCCCAAACTCAGGCCATCTCCTAAAGTGGCCAATGGCTCCTGGAGTACAGGCTTGGGGTTCCCAACAGCCCTTGACAACACCAGACTCTATAGTTCTTGGAAACGTAACTGAGTGATAATTAAGAGCACGGGTCATTAAAGGCAGACCACTCTGCTTAAAACCCAGCTCTGAAACTCCTGGTTGTGAAATCTTGGGCAAGTAACTGACCTCTTAGCCTCAGTTTCCTCACCTGTAAAATGGAGATAATATAGCACTTGGGGAAAGGCCTGGAGCCTAGTGTGTGCCTGACAGATAAGAGCCACTGATGTTACTATTACAGCTTCCTTGTAGATGTTGGTGCTTGTTTGGTAAACCCTTGTCTCAAACCCAATGGAATTGCAATTGCCAGAGAAAGGACTCAGAAAGCAGCTTCTCCAACAAGTAGGCTGGCAAAAGCTTTAGCTGGCAAAAAAAAGACATCTCATTCCACCCCTAATTGCAGGGGGGCAAAGGAAGCCCACCCCCTCATTCCCAGTCTCTGGGAAGTCTGGAGACTAACTGCTGAGGTCTCTTCCACTGCTCATTTACAATGGGCTTTCCCTTCACACCTGGTATGTCACTAATGGATAAGCACTGGATCACACAGTTTGAACCACAAGGTCAGCAGTTCAAATCCACCAGCAGCTCCTCAGAAACCCTACATAGCGTCGCTAGGAGTCAGAATGGATTTGAAGGCACTGAGCAACAACTCCCCTCACCAGGGCTCGGAAGGCGGCACCTGACATTGTCCCCCCTAGACCAAACACACAGTGTTTCGCTGGCAGCGCTCTGTACCTAAAGTCAGTCCAGAAACTGAGCTTCTCCCCATCTCCAGGGTGGAGAATCTCAACCAAAGTATTACTTAGGGAGAGGAATTTCTAATGCAGATTTCTAGGCAGCCATAGCTGATATTCAAAAACCCAGTTCCATATGTTTTTCCAGAGGTGTGCTACAAGAATCTACATTTTAAATACACCCCTCAGGGAGAGTCTTAGGCTGGAGAGAGGGAGGGGTCACAGAGATTTGTGAAATCCGAAATTATCAGTGACCAGAGGGGCAGATTGGATTCCAGGTTAAGCACCAACAGTAGCCCCACCCCACCCTTCTGCTGGGGGTTGGCAGTCTTGACATGAGACAGCAGGACAGGACCTTCTGATGGATTGTAATGGAAAAGGATCCTGGCCCAGCTAACCAAAACCCAAACCCAAACCCATTGCCCTGGTTGGGAGTAGAACTTGCTCCTATAGGATTTCCAATGTTGCAGATCTCTACAGAAGCAAACTGCGATATCTTTCTCTCCTGGTACCACTCGTGGGTTCAAGTATCCATCTTTCGGTTAGCAGCTTAATGCTTTAACAACTGAGCCACCAGGAGTCTTCACTGCACCCTAGTCTCTGAAATGGACCAGATGCCGAGGACGCCGCCCACAGGGACAACCACCCAACCTCCTAAGCTCTCACACAAAAGGGACTGTAGTGAGAAAGTTAACACCCCATGTCTGCTTCTTTTGGGGTCTGCTTATGGGTCTAGGAGGGAAAAGAGTCGTTCATCTGGTTTCCCAACCAAACCGGCTGAAACTCGCAGGTCACCCAGTGAAAGCCAGACCGACCTGGCTCCTCCGCTAGCGGCCTCAGGGCCATGCCTAAGTATATATTCTGGGGAAATGGATGTGTCCTCTCGATTAGGTGGGCAGTGTTCCGGGGTGCAGCCACGCGAAGCCGCCGGGAGGCCGGCAGAAGGTGGAACTTAGAATGGACTTTGCCTCCAGCTGGAGGACACTGTCCTGGCAGAGTGAGTGCGTGGTATGCACATTAATTGTAATGTGGGCACTTCGGTGAGTGAGTGACCGCTAGTGACGACGTTGGTGATGGTGGGTGGGGGGTGATAGGGTGTTGGCGAGGGGGCACTGTGTCCGTGGTGCACGGTGGTGCCCGTAGGAATTGCAGCGGGGGCATTTCATAATGAGAGGGTGCCTGGAGTTTTCCAGGGCATCCGTCCTAGAGGCAGCCCCGGGCAGGTATGGAGCGTCTGCGCGCTTTTGAGCCGAGGTGAAGACGAGCAGCCCCTGAGCCCTTCGGCCCCCAAACACCGCCCCCACACCCAACCCCCAGACAGGATCGCCCGACCCCGCGGCCCTGATCGCGCTCACCAGCTGCAGCAGCATGAGCGCACCGATGGGGGAGCGCACGAAGCCCAGGTCCGGGCGAAGCGACAAGGCGGAGGGACCGGCGCCCTGCGCGGGGCTGCTTGTCCGCGTGCTCACTTTCGACGGGAACTCGGCCATCGCCGCTCCGCTCGCCTCGCGAGGCTGCTTTAGCCACCGCCCTCCCGCGGTGGGCTGTGCGGGTTCCAAGCCGCTCCTCCCCGGGGACTGCCGCTCCCGCTGAGGCTCCAGGCACTGAGCGAGACGCTGAGACTGGGAGCTAGGAGCAGCCAGGTGCAGCCAGAGTCCCGGCCCCGCCCTCGCCGCGAGGCCCACCCCTTTAACCCTTTGCTCGCCGCAGGCCCAGCCTCTACCCGTTCGTACCAAGCCACTGTCTCTTCATAGATAGGGAAACTGAGGTCTGGTTCAGAGAGGCGATTCCTTCAGAGGAGCCTTGTGAAATTGCCTTCGGGAATTTCTTTGTACTTGCCGCGCCTTTGCCCTCTGCTCCTCACCCTGCTGACCCACACTGTCGATGTTATGAGATCAACTAGTAGCTTCTGTTCTCCAAGAACCCCTTCGTGTCTCCGGCACTCTCTCGGTAAAATGGGATCGGCACCTATCCATCTACATTTAAGGAGTCCCGGGGGGGCGGGGGGGCAGTCTTTCAAGATTTGATATGACTGCCTCTAAGGAGCTCTGGTAGCGTAGTGGTTACGAATCGGGCTGCGAACCGCAAAATCAGCGGTTCGAAACTATCAGCTGCTCCGCGGGAGAAAGAGGAGGTGTTCTGCTCCCGTAAAGATTTACAGACTCGGAAACCCTGTACAGGGTCGCTATGGGTCGGAACCGACTCCATGGCACATAACAACAACAACCTCTTTGGAACATATTGAGCACTAAGAATATCGTGGGCCTCAGTTTCCTCATCTGTCAGATAGGCATAATGAAGAGATGACCTCACAAAACTGTTGGGAGAAATTAATGAGCAGTTGCATGGCAAGTTCACAGGATAGGTCCTCGTACACCCGGATGGGCACACACTGACTATTGCAACTTCCGCAGATAATTAATTCCTTTATTCATCAACCAGTGTTTGCTAGGGACCCACTATGTCAGGCCCTATCCCAGGCCTGGACATACACCAGGGAACAAGCATCAAATCAGAAAGAGTACATTCATTTCTGGTCATGATTGTTGTTGTTGTTGCTACTGTTAAGTGCCGTTCCGTTGGTTCCAACTCATAGCATCCCTGTATAGCGTTTCTGAGGAACAAGTGATGGGTTTGATCCACGGACTTTGTATCTTATTATCCTGCAGTGCCACCCCTGCTAAAATACAACAAGGATGTGGCAGTGGATGACCAGGAGGCAATTTTTAAATAGGGTGGTAAAGGAAGACCTCTGGAAGGAGGTGACATTTATACCAAAGTCTGAATCATGTGCCAAAGTCCTAAGGCTGGACCAAGATTGACCGCTGGATGAATACAAAGACTATCCCTGCTAAGACTGGGGTAAAGTGGGTGAGGTAAGGTCAGACAATGGCCAGCACTGGTTGCACAGATGATTAGATAATTTATATTAGTTTCAGGAAGGTCCTGGGTGACACAAACAGTTAAACATTAGACTAGATTAGTATCCACCCAAAGGCACCTTGGAAGAAAGGTCTGGCAATCTACTTCCAAAAAATCAGTCATTGAAAACCCTACAGAGGACAAACAATTTTATTCTGACACAAATGGGGTCACCATGAATCAGAATTAACTTGATGGCAACTAGTTTTTATTTTTATTTTTTTCATTTATTAGTCCAGTGGTGAGGAATGTTGTTTACTTTACATTGAGGTACAACCCATACCAAAGACTCTGGTCTTTGATCTTCACCAGTGTTTTTTTTGTTTTTTTTTTTCCTTAAATGATTTATTGTGAATTATGTGACAGTTTACAAGGGAGAACATTAGTTTTACATTCATTCTATCGTATATTGTCTCATTGCCATGGTTACAATCCCCTCCATGCAATCCTTTCCCCCTTACCCCCCAGGTCTTCAGCACACAGTCGCTCTCCCTCTCTGGGTCTAAAGTCTCCAGTTGCTCCATCGCTCCACATCATCATCTCTGGCTCCATTTCAGGCATCACTGCTTCTCTGGGTAGGGTCCCGCTCTCTGCTCTTCTCCCTTGGTGGTCCTAGGGGCAACTAGTTTTTTGTTTCTAACTTATTGTGAATTGAGTAAAGGTTTACAAAGTAGATCATCAGTTTTACATTCAGCAAATTATATACTTTGCTTTGTTACGTGATTGCAATACCCTCTGTGCACCGACAGCTAACAGCATTTACTTTTATTCACTTTAACTATTGCATTTCTCCCTGTGTCTCCTGCTACCTTTCACCTTCATCTTTTCCTTTGCTAACCTCCTTCTTGTATATTTAACTTTTATAATGTTGATCTCATGCAATAGTTGTCCTTTTGTGATTGACTAATTTCACTCAGTATAGTATCCCCCAGGTTCAACCTTATTGTGAGGTGTTTCACAGATTCATAATTATTAAACTTTTTGTAGTATTCCATTGTGTGCATTACCAAAGTTTGTTTAACCATTCCTGTTGATGGGCGTTTAGGCTGTCTCCATCTTTTTGATATGTCTCTTATAGACAGCATATTGAAGGGCTTTGTTTCCTTATCCTTTCTGCTGTTTATATCTCTTGACTGAACATTTAATCCACTTACATTCAGCGTAAATATCAATAGGTATGAATTTATTGTTGCCATTTTTCTGTGTGTTTCTTTGCTTTTCTTTGTTTCACATAACTTGCAATGAGTTCATTTTGTTTGTCGGTTTTCTTGTCATTTCCTTTTCTGTTGTGTTAATGTTTACTAAATCTTTCTGATTTTCTTCTTTCTTTATTTTAATGTGCAGATACATTATTTTTCTTTGAGGTTACCCTGTAATTTATTAAAAATTTCCCTGATTTAAACAGTCTAATTATCTTGAGAGCTACTTGACTTCTTCCCCATTTGGAAATTCTGTATCTACACTATTCCTTCTTTTTGTATAATAGTTGATTTAATTATATATTGATATCTCTGGTTCCCTATTTTCTGTCTTGTAGGTTTGTTTTACTTTAAATAATTCTATATCTGGATTGATTTCTTGGTGTTGTTTAATTTCAGGTGGTTGTCTGCTATTGTTGGTTCTCAGTCCAAAGAACACTCTTTAGCACTTTTTGTAAAGTTGGTCTGGTCATTATAAATTCCTTTAATTTCTGTTTATGAGGAAATGTCCTAATTTTGCCATCATATTTGAGGGACAGCTTTGCTGGGTATATGATTCTTGGTTGGCAATTGTTTTCTTTCAGAATTTTGTATATATTACTCCATTGACTTC